CTTATGTTGATCTTTCTCAGATTCAATTTGCATAAAAATCTGGATGTTGGCATATGAAGATTGATTGATTGGAAACACTGTTTCCCTGCTAGACCACTTTGATCCAGCTTCAGCCAGCTCCAACTGCCATCAAGATGGCGGCTCTGCTGTGATGATATATCCTCAAATGGTAGGCAGACCATCTCAGCACTGGGCTGAAGCATATGTGTGGATGAGGCTTAAAAACTTCCAACTAAGGCAGTTGAGGGATTACATTTCCACAACTTGTTTTTTTTAATCCCAAGACTTTTTATCAGGTTTTTTTTGTAATATATAATTGAAGGTGGTGAATGCAGCTAATACTCCTCCCTCCTCCTATTTTCCCAACAACAACAACCCTGTGAGGTAGGCTGGGCTGAGAGAGAGTGACTGGCCCAAAGTCACCCAGCCAGTTTTTCAGTCCTAAGGTGGGACAATAACTCACTGTCTCCCAGTTTCTAGGCCAACATCTTCATCACTAAACCAAACTGGCTCTCAATTTTCTCATTACTTCAACATTTGGGGGGAATGAATGAGACTGAAAAACAAATAGAAATATTTGCCAGAGACCAACTGAAGTAATAGAGAAGAAAGAGATGGGAAAGCATAGAATGATACAAGATTAGAATAATTCCAATATGAAGTAGCAGTGCATTAACTGACTATACATTAGAAGGAAGTATAAAATAATAAACCAGGAAATATTCCATCTCCCCCCCCCCACCAAATACACCAAACAACTCAATTACATAAAAATAGAGAAAGTCAGCATTATTACATGGGGGGGAGGGGAGCTAGAGGATTCTTATACTTTGGATTTGAAATGTTTTCAATAAAAAAAATAAAAGTAGGCTTTTCCTCTGTTCATGAGTCTGCTGATCCAACATTCAAGGAAACCCTAGCCTTTCATTGATTTGGGTAGTAGGTCAATAAAAATCCTCCTAACCTTTATTACATCATCTCCCTAATTCAACCATCTATATTTACTCCTGAAGTCTTCATAGATCTATGAAGTGCAAATGTTAAAAGCTCAATTCTTCCCCTTCTTTGGAATATATATCTCCATCCAGTGGTGGGTTTCAAAAAATTTTAGAACCTATTCTGTAGGTGTGGACTGTTTTGTGGAATGGCTTGGCAGTCATGTGACCGGGTAGGAGTGGCCAACTTGATTTCACTCACCAGGAGATGTCATGGATTGGGTAAAATGTGGTGAAGCTCACTTAACAACGCTCTTGCTTAGCAACCAAA